TCTCCCCAAAACCCCAAAACCCCAAAACCCCATCGAGTGGATGTATCAGTTGATATTATAAAATTTAAATTAGATAAAAATATTCTATTGGTTGTTAATAAATTAATTTTTAAACTTATAAAATGTTAGGCAAACGTGCCCGCAGTTACGCTGAAAATAGCGGGAGTTCTTTGGATAAGAAATAAAAGACAAGCACTCAGGTAAATGTGCCTCTCGATATGTAAAGTGTATCTACTAGGACTCAGTCTAAATGCAATACTCCCGATGACTTAATAAGTTAAGCTCTTCCTAATGTTACCCTAATTAATACGAACGAAGGAAATTAATAAACAGGAAAAAACGAGAAGGTAAAAATGACTTTGAAGCAGCAATTAATATATCTTTACAGCACTCTAATTGACGAGTACAACTGCAATCATTAGCAAGATCTAGACAGCGAAACATAGGTGGAGATTTACACTCGTGACAGAGAGAAGAAATACATCGCCGACTTCATAAACGAGAGTATTAGAAGCAAAAAATCGTCTCTTTTATATTTGTGCGGACATCCCGGAACTGGAAAAACTTCAACTCTCCACCACGTACTCTCCAAAGTTAAACAAAATTAATCCAATAGTCAGCTATACTAGAATTGCGAGATTATGCTTTACAATGCTATGTCATTCAGAGATGTGAGGAAGTTCTGCTTGCGTCTACTCAAAGATTTAAGCTTAATATTAACTGGAGAAGCATTCGATGAATCCAGCCACAGCAAAAATAAGATTGATGATGAAGATCTATCAAACTTAATTGCAAAGACATTGATTATTAAACCCAATCTAACCAAGATCATAGTAATAGACGAGATAGATACTTTTGAGACCTACTAGAGTTCATTTTTGACAATGGTTAAAGCAATATTAGCGAGCAAGTCTAATACAGTTCTGATCGGAATTGCTAATTCTGTAGACCTACCATTTAAGAAGAAGCACTCAGCAATAGCAATGAGAGATCTTTAGTTGCTGTTCGAGCCTTACGACGAAGAACAAATAATCGAAATCCTTGAGAAAAAGACCAATATGAAGTATAACTCTCTTCCAGAGATAATGAGGAAGAATGAGGATATTAAGGATGTGTTTTTCGATTTATTGGAAGAAAAGGCTTCCAAGTTCATTGCAGTTAAGGTATCTAGAATGAACGGAGACTTGAGAGTTGCCTTCGACCTCGTGAAAAGTTGCTTCGTCTACTTGCAGAAGGAATTAATGATGGACAACAGTGAGGAAGTTGATATCAATAAGTAATAAGTCAAGAGTCTAATGGTTGCCAAAGTTTTTGAATTAAAGTATGGTTCCAAACTGCCCGAGACTCTCAGAAAATTGCCAAGATAAAATCTCATTATTTTAGAAGTCATAGCAAACTTATATGAGAATGAGAGTGAAGATAGAAAATTTACATATCACGACGTATACAATAAACTAGGTTTGAAGTGTAAAGAGCACGGTTTGGGGAAAATTGCTTATAGTGAGATGGACTCAGTAATGGAGGTGCTTCAAAATTATAATATTATTGAGATAGACAGAGCAAGCAAGCTGAAAGATTCGAAGACCTAGAAATTCTGCCTTAAGGTCGAGACAGCTGAACTCTTTACAGCTCTTAATAATATTATCTCGATGAGAGGGGGCATCAGTGAGTCACCAAGCAAAAAATGAATTAGTTAATACAGCGCTTCACTTTGATTTTAAGAGCAGAAGATGGTGAAGTATTCCTGAATAAGAATAGTAGAATTGAGATCTCATTTTTAGATAAGAGAAAAAGAGGGAAATTCAGCTACTAGTCTAGTTCAAATTAAATAAATGAATTGATATGTTTATCTAGTGACAGTGAATATATCAATTAATAAATTGTATATGCTAAGTCTGCCTAAATTTATAAAAATTAAAGCACTTTCCTTTTCACAAGACTTTATCCATTCCATACTATCACATCGATTGCGATTTTATTTCTCTTATGGGGTTTTGGGGTTTTGGGGTTTTGGGGTTTTGGGG